TTCTGGGCAAACTTTTTGAGCGACACCTGATCAACAATTCTGAACCACATTTTTCTGATCGACACTTTTGAGCAACACTTTTCTGATCGACTTTTCTGAGCAACACTTCAGATCGACACTTTTGAGCAACACTTTTGATCCGCACTTCTGATTGACACTTCCGATCGGCAGTTTGAGCAACACTGCTGAACCACACTTCTGATTGACACTGATGAGCAACACTTCTGATCCACACTTCTCATCGACAGTTCTGACAAACACTTCTGACCAACACTTCTGATCCCACTGCTCATCGACACTTCTGAACGGCACTTCTGAGCAACACTGCTGAATTGACACTTCTGAGCGACACTTCTGAGCAACACTTCTGATCGACGCTTCTGAGCGAGCAACACTTCTGACCCACACTTCTGATTGACGCTTCTGAGCGACACTTTTGAGCGACACCTGACCAACACTTCTGAACCACACTTTTTCTGATCGACGCTTCTAAGCAACACTTCTGAGCGACACTTTTCCAGTCCGATTTTTCTGAGCAGCATTCTGCTCGACACTTCTGAGCAACACTTTTGATCCGCACTTCTGATGCACACTTCTGATCGACAGTTTGAGCAACACTTTTGATCCGCACTTCTGATGCACACTTCTGATCGACAGTTTGAGCAGCAAATTTATCATCGACAGTTCTGGGCAACACTTCTGACCAACACTTCTGATCCACACGGCTCATCGACACTTCTGAACGCCACTTCTGAGCAACACTGCTGAATTGACGCTTCTGAGTGACACTTCTGAGCAACACTTCTGATCGACACTTCTGATCGACACTTCTGAACGACACTTTTGAGGAACCCTTCTCATCACCACTTCTGAGCAACAGTTGACACTTCTGAGCGAACTTTTTGAGCGACGCCTGATCAACACTTCTGAACCACACTTTTTCTGATTGACGCTTCTGAGCAACACTTCTGAGAGAGACTTTTTCTGATCGATTTTCTGAGCAACACTTCTGATTGACACTTCTGGACACGTTTGAGCGGCTGAACCAGACTTTTTCTGATCGACACTTCCGAGCAACGCTTCTGAGCGACACTTTTTCTGATCGACTTTTCTGAGCAACACTTCTGATTGACACTTCTGAGCGACACTTTTGAGCGACACCTGGTCAACACTCCTGAACCACACTCTTTCTGATCGACACTTCTGAGCAACACTTCTGAGCGATATTTTTTCTGATCGACTTTTCTGAGCAGCACTTCTGATCGACACTTCTGAGCAACACTTTTGATCCGCACTTCTGATTGACACTTCTGATCGGCAGTTTGGGCAACACTGCTGAACCACACTTCTGATTGACACTGATGAGCAACACTTCTGATCGACACTTCTCAACGACAGTTCTGAGAAACACTTCTGACCAACACTTCTGATTCCACTGCTCATCGACACTTCTGAACGACACTTCTGAGCAACAATTGACACTTCTGGGCGAACTTTTTGAGCGACACCTGATCAACACTTCTGAACCACATTTTTTCTGATCGACACTTTTCAGCAACACTTCTGAGCGACACTTTTTCTGATCGCCTTTTCTGGGCAACACTTCTGATCGACACTTTTGAGCAACACTTTTGATCCGCACTTCTGATTGACACTTCCGATCGGCAGTTAGAGCAACACTGCTGAACCACTTCTGATCCACACTTCTCATCGACAGTTCTGAGAAACACTTCTGACCAACACTTCTGATTCCACTGCTCATCGACACTTCTGAACGACACTTCTGAGCAACAATTGACACTTCTGTGCGAACTTTTTGAGCGACACCTGATCAACACTTCTGAACCACATTTTTTCTGATCGACACTTTTCAGCAACACTTCTGAGCGACACTTTTTCTGATCGCCTTTTCTGGGCAACACTTCTGATCGACACTTTTGAGCAACACTTTTGATCCGCACTTCTGATTGACACTTCCGATCGGCAGTTAGAGCAACACTGCTGAACCACACTTCTGATTGACACTGATGAGCAACACTTCTGATCCACACTTCTCATCGACAGTTCTGAGAAACACTTCTGACCAACACTTCTGATTCCACTGCTCATCGACACTTCTGAACGACACTTCCTGAGCAACACGGCTTGCTGAATTGACGCTTCTGAGCGACACTTCTGAGCAACACTTCTGATCGACACTTCTGAGCGAGCAACACTTCTGTCCCACACTTCTGATTGACGCTTCTGAGCGACACTTTCGATCTACACTTCTTTTGATCAACACTTCGAGCAACACTTCTGAGCGACACTTTTTCTGATCGACTTTTCTGAGGAACACTTCTGAGCGACGCTTGTGATGGACACTTCTGAGCAACACTTTTGATCCGCACTTCTGATTGACACTTCTGATCGACAGTTTGAGCAACACTCCTGAACCTCACTTCTGATTGACACTGATGAGCAACACTTCTGATCCACACTTCTCATCGACAGTTCTGAGCAACACGGCTGATCCACACTTCTGATCTGATCAACAGTTCTAGTTCTGAGCAACACTTCTGATCCACACTTCTGACAACATTTCTGAGGGACACGTCTGAGCAACACTTCTCAGCAAGACTTCTGTTCGAACATCTGATCGACACTTCTGAGCAACACTTCTGATCGACACTTCCGAGCAACACTTCTGTCGACACTTCCGAAGAGCGAGACTTTTGATCGACACTTCTGAACGACACTTCTAATTGACACTTCTGAACGACACTTCTGAACGACACTTCTAATGGACACTTGTGATCGGCACTTCTGATCCAAATGCGCGCCGCGCCACAGCGAGAGCGATGCAACCCACCCAAAGCGCGCAGAGGGTTCACTTTGCGTGCTCAAAATGTGCACCGCGCCACAGCAAGAGTGATTTGACCCACGCAAAGTGCGCAGAGGGTTTGCTTCGCATGCTCAAAATGGGCACCGCTCAAGATGCGCACCGCGCCACAGCGAGAGCCACCCAAAGTGCGCAGAGGGTTCGCTTCGCGTTTGCAAAATGTGCGCCATTTCGACCAATTTTGACACGTTTCAGGCTTGCCATAGTGAGCCGATTGTACGACAGGGTCAACGAAAACGGCGCCGGTGCAAACACTATCGCCTGCCAAGCAGGACGCCTCAAAGCGACGACCCCTGGATCGCAAATCCTACTGGCACGGCAACGAGAACGCGCAGCCTTCCAAAGCACTGCGCCTGCGCAGCGCAACGACACGTCGAGCTTGAGAAGCTACGATTCGTGCACAGGGCCAATGAAAACAGCACTTGCCGATCCATCAAAATCACGCTTCCACGACGAATCCCAATGGCACACGCTTATCGCCTCACCGCGGACGGTTGCGAACGGTTGCGAGGTTGCGAACTCTGGAGCAACTCCTCGCGAACACGGCCTCCACCCCCCAGACCCGCACTTATAAACGGGAACCCTTCGGTACGCATTCGGGAAAAAACAGAGAAATAAACGCAACAAAAAAAACAGGGGAGCTGTTCAGCTTTCAGGCGGCCACAGACCTCGTGAGTCCGTGGGCCCCCCGTGGCCCAACTGCGACCGATTCGTCAGGAGCTCCCTGCAGAGGACTTTGAGACGCCCTGCGACGCCTTGGGCACCTCAGGCCGCGAAGTCGCTCGACGTCCGTGGGTGTCACGCGCGGTCCTTTTTTTTGTTTGTTGTTGTGTTTTTTCCCCTGGACCCAAAGAAGCATGAGAAACAACCGCGCATTATTTTTTAATTTTATTTTTATTTTAAGTGGATTCCTGGTTTGTTTTCTTCTTTTGTGTTTTTTTCCCGAGCTGAACGGCCCTGAAGCCCACTGGCATCGGCTTCTTTTGTTTTGGTGTTCCCATGGCCAACTTGAGCCGCGGGACTGCCGGCATGGATCGGAAGGTTTGCACGGAACCGCTGGTTGATGGGGGGACACTCGGGAGAGACCTGTGGATGTGGTGGTCAAAACCGTGTTGGGATCCCAGGTTGGGGTTGGTGGCATTGGGATGTTCACTGATACTACGGGATTTCGACCCATGGCCATAGCCCCCGCAGTTCATAGGACGGGTATCGATTTCCGCGGTTGGTCGCCGATCAGAACTTGGCTGTTTCTTGAGGTTGGACCCCCCCCCGCCCAAATTGGCGAGTTTGCGTTTTGGCTTCCTGGGAAAGCCGCCAAAAATTACCAACCTGGTTCAAACCGACGCAGGTGGCACGGCGGCCTTCTATGCCCTCCGGTACCGAGATTTGGATCCGAAGTCCGGGTGAGGTTTTGTTTTGGTCCAAAGGGAGGGACAAAAACACTCAAGTTGTGTATTTTTTTTGTTGGGGGGGGATGCGTGTTTTTGTTTTTGTTTTGTTTTTTGTTTTTTCCTTTTTTTTCTCTCATCTAGGGCTGGCAAACCCTCCCATGTCTGGTTTGCTGGTTTCAGGGCGGAGCTCTACTTCTTTCCAACTTTCGGAGTTAATTACGTGTTTTTAACTGGTTGCTAGAACAGCTCACGCTTTTTGGCCGAGGAGAGGGGCGCGAGCCGAAGGGCCTGGCGAGGGACTTCTTCGTGGGCAAGGACGTGGCGCACGCCCGCACCCGCTCAGCAAGGGGCTTGGGGCCAGGGAGGCCTGTTGTGCTGAAGGAGCTGAAGGACAAGTTTTGAAGTGGGCAAGAGGAAAACAAGCAGTAAGGAAGGGAGCACTACACGGGGAATCAACAACAGGCACAGCATGTCTAGCCAAGTTTTTTTGGGCGCAGAGAAGAAGTGATCCAGAGGGAAGCCACCCTTTTGGGCGTCTAAATCCCTGCAACTTTTGGCGGGCCGACTTTGGATCATGGCTACTCTACCCCAACCGTTGATTAAGGCTCGGGAAGCTTGTGGAATTCCCTGTATAAACTGCGCTCGTAGGCGAATCCCTTCTGTGGATGAATTCCAGTTCGAACCCAACGTCCCCAAGGTAGCTACCAACAAACGCAATGGCTTCAAATTCTATACTTGACTGAATGATATCCATCTCGCACAACCAACCACGTCTAAAACTTTCAAGCATGGTTTCTTAGGTTGTGCGAGATGGATGTCATTCAGCAATCGTAAGGCTTCTCAAACTTGGCGTCTGAACCCTTGTGTGTTCCTTAGGCCTTGGCCAATGTTTTTTTTCTTCTCCTCCTCCTGGTAGAACAAAAGGCGAATGGCTCAGCTTCCTTCCCATAAGGCGCCCGGAAAGGGCTGGTTGATTTGGAAGGAAGAAATCCCATAGACCCATGGTATGGAATTCAAATTCAGGTAGCCCTTCAAAGAAATCCGGGCCGTGGCTTCTTTTTTGTGTGTGCAAGTCGTGAATCAGGTCATTGTGATTCGGATTGCTTTCGATTTGGAATTGCACCTCTGGTCCTTAAATGGTATATCACTACCTAATTTACCAACCCAGACACGGGTTTTTTGGGTTTTAAATTTCTCCAGAGAACCAAAAAAACAACACCGCTCCAAGTTGGGAAACACCACCAGCCACCCACCCTCCATCCAAATCAAGATCCAAATTCGGAAACCTCACCAGCCACACATCCAACCTCATCACCCAGAGGCTCACCCCTATGGATTTTCGCTCGACTGGGTCTCAGGCGACGAGTTGGACTTCTACGCCAAGCTCTCCGCGGTGAGCGGCTCCGGCGGCTCCGGATCCGCCTGGGCGCGGTTTGCGGCCCAGGCGATGCGCTGCCCGGGCATGGCGCGCCTGGAGTGCGTCAAGCCGTCCCAGGCGCCGGAATGTGGCGGGGTGCCTTTTGGTTTGTTCGGTTCAGAGGGGTGTGGTAGGATCGTTTTGTGTTTTTTTCTTCTTCTTCTTATCTGTTTTTGGAATCAAGTTGTTTGTTTTTGGGGGGTAAGTCGTGAATCAGGTAACTGGTGGTTTGGATTGGTGGCTTGAAATCGGACCCCTGGCTCTGGCAGAAGGGATCCCCCATCCCCTTTTTTCCAAAGCACCGCTTCGCCTGCCTCAAGCCACCTGGAAGGAAGCTGAGTGAAAAGAACCAAAAGAAGGGGCAAGGTTCCGAAACAGCGGTTCAAACCATGGAAGCTCACTTCGGGAAAACAGGCCATGTTTCTGTCTTGTCGGTGCGGCTAAGTTAAGCAAAGTTATCCTCCCATGTTTTTCCTTCTTTGTTTCGTTTCCCGTTTGAGTTTTGAGCCGATGAATCTGGGCGTGTGTGACCGTCCACGGTGCTGGATCCCAGTGAGGGAGCACCCCTGTTGAGCAACCAGGAAGGTTTTAAATCTGGGCGCCCTACTGACAGATGGCAAGATCTGTTGTTTTTTCGATTTGCATCTGGAGTTTTGCAATCCCCTAACCAAACTTACACGAGGATGTTCTTGAGAGACACCTCCTTGATTTCAGTCTCGCTCGGCTGCGCTTGCCCGTGGGTCTTGGTCTTGTGCCAAAATCCAACACCTGAAGCATCCTTTTATGGGTTTTTGCAGATTCCTTCTGGGGAGAAAATGCCACAGCACGCCCCCAACCTCCAATTCCGCCTCATGTCCTTATCGGACATCCAACAAGAGGGACATCCCCGCATTTTGGTTGGAATGCCCCCTCCCCTTCTTTTCAAGCCTCCCCTCTCCCCGAGCAACAAACAAAAACAAAGAACGACGAACAAATTGAACCATCCCCCCCTCACTTTTTAGCTTTTTCTCTCCCCCCCCCCCAAAAAAAAAAACACAAAAAAAACAACAACAAAACAAAAATACATATCCAGCCTCCCCCAAAAAAACAACACAAACACAAAACAACACCAACAACAACAACAACAACAACAACATTGAAAGAAAAGGAAAACACAATAATACAAAACGGCAAACACAAAAACCACAAAATCGCCGAGACGCCCTGTTTGCGGCTCCTGCTGCTGCTGGAGAACCTGCGGCAGCCCTTCCTGGAGATGCGGCTGCTGGACATCAAGCTGGGCACGGAGACCTCCGTGGCCGGCTGGAAGGGCAAGAGCCGTCTCCACGCCTGGCGCCCTGACAGGAGGCGTTTTTCGGAAAAAGATCCGGGCCCGGCCATATTTTGATTTTGTGTCCGATGCCGTGAAAATCCGTTTTATTTATTTGTTTACTTGTTCTTTTGTTTGTTTATTTATTTTTGTATTTATGTATTTATTTATTTATATATTTATTTATTTATGTATTTATTTGTTCCTTTGTTTATTTATTTATTCATTTTTTCAAAAAACATATGTTTATATTTTTAGTTATTTATTTGTTTACTTTTTTTTAAATATATTTACGTATTAATTTGTTTTTATTCATTCATTTATTTATTTTTGTTTATGTATTTGTTTGCTTATGTATTTATTTGTTCATTTACTTGTTTGTGTATTGTATGTATTTATGTGTTTGTTCATGTATTGATTTCATTTATATATCTATTTATTTATTTGTTCATGTATTTATGAATTTGTTTGCTTTTTGTTTGTTTATGTATTGTTATTATTGTTATTGTTCTTCTTTCAACGTTTCATCTCGGCGGAATCCGTGACTGAAATGGTTTGGCCTTCGGATCCATCAGGGACGCAGCCAAGAAACGACCGACGACACGACCGAATTCACCGGTTTTTTGATGGTTTATGTGGTTGGAATGCCCAACCACCTGATTTCAGGCTGAAATCTCACAATTCACCCAGAAAACGCCTGGTGAAGGGGAAGCAAGGAGCTCGAATGTTTTGCGGGACCGAAGTCCGTGTGGAAGGCTCCATCTTACTGATCTGGTTGGATTTGGGGATTTGCCAGGTAGGAATTTCCGCCTAAGATAGGTGGGCTGCGGCGGTTGGTTGTTTGGTTCATCTTCCTCTTGGGCAGGGTGCCTTTTGCAGGTGTTGTTTTTGATTGTCCCGTTCTCGTGCTTTCTTTGCCCTCATTTTCGTTGTTTGAGGTGGTGCAACCGGGCCATGAATCGAAGCTTTCTCAGTGCCAAGCCCAGGAAGAATGCATGCGTGGACCAACGCACAAACTCCGCTGTCGAGGGCTTTCGCTTGGAGGGCATCGAAATGCCGCCGCGGTCTCTTGAAGAGAGAATCCTGGCGGTGGTCAATGCCAAAAGCACGTCTGCCACTGCAAAGTACATCTCGCCCAAGGCGAGGAGGGTTCTTAAAGGGGACCACAAAACGTGACTTTATTCTTATCGTCATTCTTCTTGTTGTTCCAGCCCCATTAAATTCATCACTACCGTGGATGGACGAAATCCTGCACCACTTTGAGAACCATGAGAAACCACCGTTTGTTGTTATTTACAGGGGAATCATCATTCCGGCCTTTCTTAGGTGGTGCAGATTTCGTCCATCCACAGTATCAACATCACCCCCGTTCAGTGGCAGGTTCAGCGACCAGTTTCTGACCTTGATAAGCCCCAGAAACAGTCAAAATAATGTCACCAGTAGACCTAGACCAAAGGGAAAGCCAAGGAACCCCGGTAACACCGTTACAACCCTCTGTTTGTGTGTCAAAAATAGCTACCCCAATTGGAACCCTGGGAAAAATGGAAAGAAGGACTAAAACCTGCGGTCCAATTCCTGGTGGTTTCATTTTGACCCATACCCATTTAGGGTGTTGATGGGTGTGGTTCCACCATGTTTTGTTGGGGTAACCATTTTTTGGCTGGTTTAAAGGAAAACCAAAAGTCACCTTACTTTAAAGGGAAACCAGCCAGATGAGGGTCATTTGTCGGAAGAACCAGTAGACATAGAGCAAAGGGAAAACCAAGGAACCCCTGAAAAAACCTTTGAAACCATTTGGAGGAACCGCCCGATTCGGGGGGGTTCCGCGGATCTTGAGACAGGTGATCCGCCGCTTCACGTTGCAGAGGCTCCGCGCGGCGGAGTTCCTGGAGTCCTGGCTGGATGTGTCGCACTTCGGCCCGGGGTCCGAGGTGCATGCGCAGAAGCTCGGTCTGCGAGTCAGCCGGATCTGGAACTTTCGTTCTGTTGCCATTTTTTTTTCGGTGGCTTTTCGTGCCTTTTGTTCTTTTCCTCCCCTTGTTGCTTAGAGCTCCGGCAAGTCTTTGTGGGAAAAGAAGCCAGAAGGCGAGCACCATGTTTTTGGGGGACAGGGAACAAAAAGGGAGTCCGGAGCACACTTTGGCCAGGGTTTTGTTCCACCTTTTCCACGTGAGTGAACGCACAGACAAACACACACACACACACACACATATATATATATATATATGTGTATGTATATATATACACATACATATATATATATATATATACTCAGATACATACATACATACACACACACACATATATATATATATATGTACAGGTATGTCTTTTTCGCTGGTTTTCGGAGCTCCAAGGAAGGCGTTGCTGGAGAGTTTCCGGCAGGTGCAGGGCCTGGTGCAGGCGGTGGTGGCCTTGGAGGTGCCTCAGCAGTGGATCGGCTCGTCGGTGGCGCTGGCGCTGGAGGTGGGGACCATGGCGAGGCTCAGCGTGGTGGTGAAGGCCGGGATCGCTTTCGCGGGAAGCAGCAGAAGAACTTTGAATGGCAAAGGCGCGTATATATATATATATATAGATATGTATGTTTCTCCAAGTGTGTGCGTAAGTTTATCGGGCTGGCACTTGTTTCTTGGAGCATCTCTGTTTGGAAGGCGTTGTTTATTGAGCACGCCCTTTTTGCTGAGAACCGCCCGCCCTCTTTTTCCTAAGGCGGTTTTCACCAAAGGCGCCCCAAAGAAACGCGGGGCTGGCCGGGATCCAGCCAGCCGCCTACCACGCCACGCCCGGCTTCTGAACTGCTCAGGCTTGGATCAAGAGGTTTATCCAGCCACTTCTGTGATACTTTTGGGAATCTCCTTCCCTTTGGGGAGAAAAAGTCTTTGGGGTTGCCTTTTTGTTGCATCACAGAAGTTTCTGCCCTTTTTTTGGCATCGCATTCTGTGGCTTCGATTTCAAGCACCTGGAAGTTCTCAGGTCTTCGACTGGGGCCGGGCGGAGCTGACCACCGCGGAGGAGTTTGCGGCGCTGAAGGTGGAGGCCCAGGAGAGCCGGGGCCACTACTGGCGCCAGCGCCCGGGCGAATCTTTTCGCTTTGTGCCGGCTCTTTTGTGGCCAGCCCACTTGGCCGGGGTTGTATCACTTGAGCACGTGAGGAGAAAAAGACAAAGCGGTTTCTTGATCACTTCTTGGGTCCAAACTGGGCAAGTGAGAACCGGTCATCGACCTTACCCTTGGCTTTTCCCTTGTTGGTCCAGTTTTCTTGATTGCTATTGGTTGGATCTTTAGACTTGAAACCTTTTTGGTTGACATCGAGGGGTTTCCACTCAACCCGCAAAAAGGTGAAACTTTTTGCAGAGGGGTCGACAGCAACCGAGGTTTGGGAGGGTGTGGCTGTTGTCGTGTGCTTTGTTTTTGCTTGTTGTTAGGTGACCCCCAAAACATGGGGAGGATCCGTTTTTCCTTTTAAGGTTTCCCCTTTAAAAAAAAAAA